ATTGTTACAAAATAAAATAATACACTATAAGTATGGCCCTAGGTTAATGCTTCTGTTTCTTTTCACCAAAGATTAAATATTAATATAAATAAACTACTACAATGAAAGGAAACAAAGATATCCAAACTCTCCAGACCATCTGGATGTGAGATATTAAAAGTGATAAATGTCGGTAAATTCTCAGAGCTTAGAAACCTCAGCGTCTGGTTTAAATGGCATTATTGATGACACACGATGTTACTGACTGGGGCACTTAGAATTACGAGAAGCTGACAGTTTTCTCTCTTCCTCAGCTTCCTCTTCCTTAAGCCCTTGTATCTGCCATCCACCACTCAATAACATTTGTTGAACTTCTATTTACAAGGAACTAAGGTGTTGTGGAGGATACTAAAGATGAAAGAAAGCATAGATCCTGCTCTTGAAGATCATAAAAGCTAATAAGAAAGAGAGAAAAGATGTTTATAAATAACTATGATACAACAGAAAGAGGAAATGGGAGGACAGGAATTTATATTCACCGAGTGCCTGTTGTGTAAGGCACCACGTTACAAGTTAGACGTGTATTAGCTTATTTAATCCTTAAACTGTCGGTTGAAATAAGACATTATTATCTCTGCTTTACAGATTGGGAAAACGAGACTCAGAGTGATGGAGGAACTTGCCCAAGATCACAGAGCTTGTAAATGGAAGAGCTAGGATTTGACTCATGATCTGTTTGGCTTTGCTAGCTATGACCCCCCTATTTTAAGAGTAAAGTAATATAAAAAGCTGTACAGATAAAGTGCTATGGGGATTCAGCAAAAGGAAGAAATTGCATTCCACTAAGGGAGAGTAAAGACATCTTGCTGGAAGAAGTGGCATGTAAGTAAGAGCGCTGATCACATTTGGGTGTGTGGAAAGTGAGTGTATCCAGGGACTAAGCGGGGAGCAGTTCTGAAGGAAAAAAACCGTTCTAAGAAAAGACAAATGACGTAAAACAGATTTGAAGAGAAAAAAGGAAATGGTTTGATTTGGTTTGGATGAAGCATAGTGTCCAGAAAGAGCAGTAATGGAAAATTAGTGGGAACTAAGGCTAGAAAAACAGGCCAAATCAAAGGATTTGAATGTCAGACAAGGAACTCGATTTCACTGCACTCTGAATGGTAACCACATTGAGATTCAGAGTTCTGGGGTCAGAAGAATGACATAACCAGAACCGTGATAGAAAAGCTTCATCTGGCAGACATCTATAGGATGACGTTGGCTGATGCCACACTCAATCCCAACCCTCGATGTCTCCGCTATAGAGACAGGAGAAAGCTGAGTGTTCATTTTCCGACTCACCTCCCTTGCAGCTGGGACTGGCTGGGCAACAGGCACATCTTCACGGGGTGCAGAATGGCAGTGGGCAAGCAGGGGGTCAGAAGGAAGAGAAAGGTGGGACCCTGTCAGGTAGGCAGAGAGCTGGAGGGGTTTAATTGTCCTGTCAGCCATTAGTGAAGCTGTGCAGAGCATTAGCACCTTGACTCTAACACCTGGCAGTAGAGGAAAGGAACAGGAGGAGCTGGGGTAAAGTCAGTCATGGAGAAAGGGAACGCAGGTCTGGGGAGCCAGGAGAGGACCAGCCACCAGAACAGGGGTGCCTGCATCCAGGCAGAAACCTGGTTTCTAGAACTAAGGCGTGGCGCCAGCACCACACCCGGAGCAATGGCATTGATCCTGGGTCAGGTGCACGTGGGAGAAAGGCCTCCTTCCTGCCTCATGTTTAAGGTCCGACTGAACCTAGGGAATATTCAGATTTACTGAACCTAGGGAATATTCAGGATTAAAGCCATCCTTGGAATGGCGGGTCTGCAGGAACTGACAAAACTTCAACACTCTACTTGACTATTAATATTAAGGAACTGTCAAAAGAACAGAGTCTGAGTCTGTCTTGTTCACGACAATTTCACAGCCTCATGATTGCACCCTGTACGAAGCAGGGGCTAAGTAAATACCTGAGCTACTGAATTGAATTATGTTAATATGACTTAATGAGCAACCATCAAGGTGACTTGCACTTCAAGAGATTAATTTTGCTATACCGCCCAAATAATTCTGATTACCTCTAGTCTGAAAAACAAATGCTTGCACCTTTTTTCTAATTTCCTTTCCTTCTTTCTTCCTGTACTTACTCTCTGTTGTCACTTGTTATTTTTTCTCTTTTTAACCAAGCTTTTTTTTCCAATCTCTGTGACATTATTTACTCCATCCTACCCCTGTTCCTCTCTAAGAATTTGATTTCTGTTGATTCAGTGGATTCGTAGCGACATCCTCTCCGTTCATTTCCCGCCTCTCTCCCCATCTTAGCCACAGCTGCTGGAGTTGCCTTTATTCCTTCCTAATACCCTTTCACCATCTCATTTCCCTTGTCAAGAACCATTTTCTCACCCATTTAGGGAAATGCAAAGACTCACCTCTCTTCCCTCAGGCCTATTTTCCTGTTCAATTTCACACTATCACTGTAACACGGTTCACTGCCAGTTAGCTGTCCAGCGCTCACTGTTTTTTAACGATCTAAGTTAAATCCACCTAAGCCATGTTCAACCTTAGCAAGATGATCAGAAGTCCCTGAAGAGAAGACATTTCCCTGGTCTGCAAAATAAAGCCTTATTAATCTGAGAGTTCTTACTAAAGAATGCACGACACCGAAGAAGCAGAATTGAGTTTTTCTCTCTCTAAGGAAGAGTTTTGCACCGTATGATACTATGATTAAGATGATGTGGGAGTGTTCCACCTATGCAAGAAAGCTCTCATTGACATAAATATTTGCACATGAATCGCAAGGTGCCAATTATAATTCTGTCCAAATCTTTTACTAAACTTTAAAAGATGTGCAACCTCCCAACTCTAACATTTGCAACTCTCTTTTTGGAAGTGACTTGCTCATAACTGTGGCTGTAGACTCAAGATTTATTATGACAGTATTCTTCTTTTTACAGTTATTCTCATTAACATCTTATTAACTAATGTGCTTTTAATGCTGTCTTTTTGTCCAATTCTCTAAGTCTTTATAGCCATATCTGAATTCCCCACTCTTTTTTGTCTATAGGACACTTGCACTTGGATGTTGTAGCAGATGTAGGTGCCAATCCGCACCATGCCTCCCTCCAAGACAGAGCTAGAACACAGGTTCCACACGTCCCTGCGGCTCATGCCTCTAGCAGAAGGAGCATGCCAGGCCTTCTGGGTCGGTCAGAAGCACCATGGAGTTAACACCCAGGCAGCACTCTCAACAATGAAGGAAGGGACATTAATGGAGAAAGACATCCATTCCTTGCCCCTCAGCGGGGGGATTCCCAGGCAAGCTTGACAGGCTCTCAGAGGTTCCTCAGCAGGCCTGAGGCCCAACTGTCCACAGCAGTAACCTGCTCATTAGCGCACCGATTCCTGGGTCTCTTGGCTTCCCTGTGACATTTTCCCACTCACTCACAATGCTGCCCGGGTTCAACTCCCAAATAAACTATTTATGCCCAAATCCTTAACTTAAGTGCCAGTTCGGGGTAGGAGGAGGTGATCCAGGCTAACACAGAGGTCCTATTAAAACTTAAAATACGTTAAAGATTATAATCTTCTCTTAAAACCAACTCTCCAACTTCTGTTATTATCTGTTATCTCACTTTCTTCTCTTCTCTTGAGAGCCGAGTGCTACAGGGGTGTGAGGGTCTTAGAGAAAGCCTTGACTTCTGCTCCCAGTTTTATGGTGTCACTCCAGGTGAGTCATTTCTCTCTCCTGATTCTGTATATACACCTGTCTAGGACAATAATACTTCCCAGGGATGTTGTAAGCATTAAATAAAGCACGCAAAGCTCCTTCTACTTTGTCTTCATCTCATTACAATGCAGCAGTTTCAAATTTAGGGAATAAGCTACAACTTTTTTTGTGGAGGTTTTTCCTACAAAAATTACCTTGAGTCAACTTAGAATATAAGAGCAGAAATCACAAATAGTGAGGATATTCTCTAATATGAATATAAATTAATTACATGTCAAACTTTTTCTCATGAGTGTCGTGCTCTACTGAAGTACATGGGGCTTTTTGTTTGTTTTGTTAGACATCCTTATATACAGAGCTCATAAGGCTATTAATAATATTTTCATGATCTAGTATGAGAATGAGCACACAACAGACAATTTATGCTATTGACTAACAAAGATATCATGAAACTCATTTAGTTACGAAACAATCTATGAGAGAAATAGCATTCTGTATATCAAGGGCAAAGATCCATAAGGGGAACTCAATAAAGAATTATGCTACTTACAGGTAAACATTAATGACGGCAAAACATTAATGACGGCATTTCCTTCTCTATAGCTTCCCACAGACTACAATAAGAATTGATACTGAGTTTGTTCTTTTTTTACTGACTGTTCATTTCTGACAACTCCCTTCCTTTGTAACTTTCACCTTTATACACATTCCTTCCTGTTCTAAAATTTCCTCATTTTCTTCAAGATGACTTCGGGCTCAAAAGATTTTCTGTTGACTACATTTAATTATAAATCACGTCTTCAGCAGTTAGTTTATATTGAAAATGTAGAGCGGATTCAATATCTGTCTATAATGAATCAAACGTAGCTGGTAGGATCACAGAATAAATAATCAGAGTCTGTGTGGATTTCCAACAACATTATTAGTACATGATTAATCAGGACCTAATGCAAACCAGGTCATACCCGCCATCTACTAAGTCATTTCATCTTATGTTGAAGTCCTGTGGCATTGTTTCAGATCAGTTAAGAGTTTCGCTTAGATGAGAGCACATTGTTAAACTTGCCATCTGGTCCAACAGCTGACGTGGCTCACACAGCCCTGAAGAGGCCCCGAAGCTTTACTCCTGGGAAATATTTGGTCTACTGTGTGGTGTCACGATTACTAGTTCATAGCTTTTTTATATCCTCTGAAAAGAATTGCAGAAAATCTTCCAATGGGGAAAATTCTACAGTGGAATTAATTTGTTAGAAAAGAGTTCACTTACCTGAGGACCAGGCTGACCCTGAAATTGAAAAAAAGAAAAAAGGAAAACAATTACAAAATTGTTTTCTTAAGTGAATATTTTCACTACCAAAACTTAAACCAGTTCTAAAAATCTTTTCAAAATATTTCTGAAGATAATAATACCTAACTACTGACAATTTTCACTTTGTGGTTTTAAAATATCATATTCTATCTTAATATTTTTACTTTATGCTACTTATCTAAAATCTTGATATTATGATCTGTTATATGTAACTCCAAAACGACTCCAGGGTTTTAGCGTGCTCTAGAATTAAACTGGATAAGGAGAAGACACAAGGTGAGCTACACCCCGCGTTATCACAATAATTGGGTTACGCGAAGGGAAGGTCTCCTAGCACAGACTATTCCTGTGAGCCACATATTCAAAGACGGCACCAAGTTAAGAAGAAAAGAGGCAGATGTTTAGTTTCAGCACTCACTGAGTCTTTGAATTTCTCGTTGTTTCAATAATATTTTAAGTCAATTTTTTAAATAAGCATCTATCTCGTACTCTGCATAATCCAACCTAAGGTCATTTTAAGAGGACATGAGAGGTCATTGGCTCAATTAAAGTGCATCGTAACTCTTCACACAGTCAGTAGATGATGTAACCTTTGGCCAGTCTCACTCTTTTTGCATGTCACTCTCTTGTTGTTTAAGCTGATAAAAATGTCAAAGCAGCATAATGGTAATACTTCTCGCTAAAGGAAAATCACCTGTGAATAAAAGCAGTGATTACGCACCACCTTCTTAAAATTGCCAATTGGGTTTTACGTAAGATGAGATGAAACAAAAAGTTCACACTGAGTTAGGGAATCTTAAAAAATAAATTACTAATGTACCATCTCTTTATATCAGCTGTATGCCACTAGTATGATACAGCAAAGCATAGAGCTAAGATTTTCTCACTCTCTCTCTCAGGCCCTCTCCACACTGGGAATTACCCTAGGGACTTGTTCGCTGATCGACTGGAGACAGAACAGATGGTTTTTCAAGAGCTTTCTATGAAAATGCGGTTGGCCAGCTTTTATCTAACGCAACCAGGAAGGGAGCTAAACCAAGTGACCGTGGATGTTCCTCTCCCGCTCCTGTACTCTCTAGTGGTGGACAGGGAGTAAGAGAAGAGCATTCATTAATTCCCTACCAAGTACCAGGCACTTTTGGATACGTTATTCTATTTATCCTTATAACTGCCCTGTACTTTACAAATTAAGAAATGGAGGCTCATAGAAATAACCTAAAAATCACACAGCCTACAGGTGGAAAAGCCAAAAGTTAAACCCAATCTGATTACAAAGTTCCTGCATTTTCCACCAGGTCATTCGGCTTTGCACTCTGGAAGTTTAACCTCACCACTGTGTGCAGACTTGCTCAGATCAACAAAGGTACCAGAGCGTTCTTCAAGTGAGTGGATGCTCTACATTTTCCAACCACTCCAGGGCTGCCACAGCGAGCATCTCTGCTTCCAGAGGCAGACGCAGGACCAGCAGACACCCAGCCTGTTAACTGATACCTGTACAGAAACCAGGTCAGCGAAAGTTCTCAAGGGTAACAGAGGGCCCTAAAATCAGCTCTAAACGTGGAGACCCTACAGAGGCAGGGCTCTGCACTTCTGATCTTCTGGATCCACCTAACGGGCGAAATGACGACACGTGCTCACTCTTGCTTGTGTTCTCGCTTGCTCTCTCTGGACGCTTTAAACGTCTGATCTTTCTGAAGTTTTAAACTAATGCCAACTCAGAAATGTGAACACGCATCTTTTATAGAACCTCAGAATACATTACATCTCTTATGTTTTTTATGAAAACTAAAATGTAGGATTCTCTAAAAGCAGAATTTCTTGAAAAGAGTATGCTTTAGCATCATTGCTGAGATCTTTTTTATTCCTATAGTTGTTCCACAAATGACAGACTTTCCCCATCTACCTTTAAAATGTGGTACTTCTGCCATTACAATGAACAAATGATTTTAGCACAATGTGTACATATATTTACATGTTATTATGTACAACTATACACTGTGTTATGGATTTCATGTTAGCAATAGTGAGAACAAACAGTAAACGATGGTAAAATTAAACAGTTAACTTTTACGTAAGCATTGGAAAGTATATAGCACCTAATGTGTGATTTGAATTTCAGGTGTATATGGTGTGCGTGCTTGTGTGTGTGAAGGGTGGGGAACGTGAAAAAGAGGGATGGAAGTGGGTTGCAAGAGAGGCTTCCCAGAAAAATGATGCATACCACATGACACATTAGTAACTCTCCCTAAAAGATGGATTACACAGTGCAACAATTTACAAATTGTTACAAATCTTACACAAGATTCCAGGGCTGCCCACACCAAGTCTTCTCACTCAACGTGATGGAACAAACTATCCACTAGCAGACACCTAGAACTCCTATAAGAACACAGTCCAGCAATGGAGTCCTGTAGTCATAGTAACAGAGCCCTCTGGTCAAAGAGGGGAGGTGATGAGAGGAGAGGTTTCAGTGGGTGTGGCAGTGTCAGCTGCCCCATGAGAGTGCAAAGCATAGAAGGAGATAATTCAAAAGTCCAAGAGTAAAGGGCAGCCCAGAAACTCCCTGGTGACTGAGGGCAGTGGGTGATGAGGGCTTTGTCACAGAAGAATCACCAAAAGAAACATCTCAAAATTTCTTTAAGTCGCTCCTGAGTAGCTGATGAGACATACAACAATTTTCATTCATTAGTGGATACTTTTCTAGTCTATTCTAATTTATGGGTACCAAACATTGTTAGTAATCAACTGTGAAAGTTATTTTCCATTTTCTGAAATCTACTCTAACTGAGTAGTTATAAATTATGATTAAGGCTCACAAAACTCAACTTAAGTTGAATTTTTTAAGATGGAACTCCTGAAAAGGACCGTTTTTCCCAAGCAAATCACCAAACTGTTTCTATAAATACAAACCTGAATCTAGTCTAATCAAGAGCTGTGCCAAGGGAAATAGTTAAATCACAGAAATACTGAAGTTTGGAACTTCCATGTAAAGATGTAGAGTGCTGAGTGCTCCAGCTGCTGAGTTACTGGAGTCAAAGCTCCATGAGATGCCCTAAGGCAGCTAAGGCACCAGCGTGAAGAAAAAGAAACAGCAGGAGGAGCTGACTTTAAAAGTGGTAATCAGAACAGTCTGGGGGAAACAACCAGCCAGTAGCTGATGCTTGACAGGAAAGTGTTCAAAGCAAGTTGAAAGTTTTGTGGGGCAAGTAAACCACAATGGCACATGAGAAATGAGATACCTCACTGGAGTATGTCGTGTTACTTTAGGCAATTAAAGAGCAATATTAACAATTCTTTGTTAGGCTGTTATCACAATTATGGTTGCCAGAGAGTGCTAACACTCTCCTCTAAATAGACAAAGTCATTTAGGCTCTGACTGAGGCAATTCGTTTCACTACATGGTACTTTTTTATGGATGGTAAATCTGTGTCATTCCTTTTCAGATGGGACAAGTGCTGTTTTTCCATTAGCACATGTACAGATAGGCACACAAAATTTGTACTTTTAAAGTACAGTCTTACTTTGAAATACTGATTAGGATAACAGAATCACATATATCATTACTGTGATAAATTTTAAATGAAAACGCTTCCATTTACAAAAACTTGTGGAAATATTAGCATTGTTCTTGCAACTCTAAAAGATGCTACCTCTGCTTCAAGGTCCTTAGAAAGAGATGACTTCAATAACTTAGAAACTCATCAATAAGAAACCCAAACTTGACGACCACTTTTAGTACCCTCAGATTCAGATATATTTCATTCTCTTGAATTGAAAGAAAATACTTCAAAATAATAATTTCTATGTTTTGCATTTTAGATCCTTTACTGTCTAAAAAGATCATTTGAAGAGGACTAGTATAACTTCATCATCTCTTGAAAATTCTCAAATCCACACATTCAAATGTCAAGCTTATTTTTCCTTTCAGGTGGAAATGGCACGTGAAGTGGGCGCCCAGGTAAAACGTTCGAAAGACATCATAGGAACTCTGAGTGGCAACAGGATGTCCTGGTGGCAGGAGTTTGGAGGACCAATAGGAATCCTAACATAGAATCGCCTCATGGGATCCCTCAACCTTTCAAGAGTGGCAGTGTGACCTAGAGTCTGTGCCGGTAAGGGGAGCAGACGCCCTCGAGCTTGCGGCCCCAGGGAGCAGCAATCTTTCCCTCGCCACGGCACCAGGAACCTGCTCACAGTTAACCCCCAATATCCCAGTGCCCAAGGGGCTTCAGAAGCAATTGTTGAATTGCTAAAAGGTGAGATTATTTAGCTGGTCCAAAGATAGTTAACAATATTTTCAATGAACCAATAGGAAGTTTACTATTCTTACATTACAGAGTTATATTTTCAAAATGTAGCTTCTTAGTCTAATGACCTAGAAAGAGCTCTCTTGACTTCTGCTCACTGCAGAATAAATGCATCTATGTCAAGAGGAAGTCTCCCCTCTGAATGGGCCCTTACCAAGGCAACAGAGATGGAACTAGCTGGAAGCTGGCAGAGGCTTCAGGGTGAGATTTAGACACCTGTGCACAGGCCACAGGACAAACAGCATGGGGGTTCTGTCCCTCATTTGATTAAGCCTCCATACCCAATTACTGTGAGAATATGATATCAAATTGCTTTGTAAATTATAAAATGCTGCACAAATACAGCATGGCAACTTAAAGTAAGCTATAAAACCAATACTAACAATTCATTCAATTAATTCAAATTTAGATAAAAAGTGTCTATTAACTCAAAAAACAAATTAATATGCAAATGATATAATACAGAGAAAAGCAATTGAAGAAATAAAGCATTACAGATTATGCATATTAATTAAAAATGGCTTTGCAAAGACTGCAAAGTCTCTTGGTGCCTGGAAGCTGCCCACGCTTCCAAGGCCTCTTACGCCACTTGACTGAAACAAACAGCATTCATGATTTATAGTGCCTGTTGCGTTTCCCTACAGGACAGTATTAACCATTCTTACCTTA